TTGAAACATTAACCTTCGTTCTTAATGTGTGTAAATATTCCTTGAACCAATTGTATTTCAACTTTATGATATCTTTTGCCACAATGAAATATTAAATTTTATTTAGAATAAAATTACTCAAAGAGCTTAATCTTTTACTTTATATTTTCTGGAATTCTTGTTTTATTATAAGTAATAATTCCTACCACAATTCCATCATACACATGTTCTCCTAAAATTTAGTTTACTGCTTTTTGTTATTTTGTGTTATTGCTTAGATTTGAAATTTACTTATATTCTTTTTTTTATATGGGATGAAGAGTTTAGTGTTCTTTATACTATTAGTGAATAATTTGCTTGAATTCTCCAAGCTTCACTTTCCGCATTAGTAAAACAGGTACATAATACCTACCTACCATGGATGCTTTAAGGATAAAAATAAAATAATGTAAACAATGCATATAATATTTCTAGACAAAGTAGGCATTTCACAAATGGTAGATATTATTTTATGAGACAGTGTAGTGGGAAAAATGAGATCGATATATTAATTCAACCTCTGAGACTGGGTTTCATAAATTAAAAAGTGATCTTTCTTGTAGAGTTGATATAAAATTAATGAGATAATATTCAAAGCTGCTAGCATGTATCAGGTAACCAATAAATAATAGTAAATACTATGCCATTGTTATTATTTCCGTTATTAGTACTATTATTACTAGCAAAATTATGGCCACCAATAACAGCAGGGATTAAAGTAACTTAGTAGTTGGGAGTTGCATACTGGCATTTTCTAGATTTTGTCACTGACTAGTTGTGTACCCATAGATGATTCTTTTGGGTATCCATATCTCTCTCTCCACACACACATGTAGCATGTGCACACACACACACACACACAGTAGGGATCCACACAGCTTAAGTCCAAGCCATAGCTAAGCTGCTGGTATTACCACTAAGCACAACAGCTGCCTGGTTCATTTGATGCTTTAAAATGATGCAGAAAGCCAGCATATTGTGAGATAAAGTATGTCTGTAGGCTTCTAGTTTGCCATTCTGGATGAAAACACTTAGTATTTACACTTGAAATAAATTAAGGCATAAATTAAGTTAGTTGGAAATGACAATAACTACATGAAATATTTAAAAAATGTCAGACTTCCTATAATTCTTTTTTCCAAGTCCTTTAAAAGCCTCCATTTTGGGCAGTGCCTGTGGCTCAAAAGAGTAGGGTGCCAGCCCCATATGCCAGAGGGGGGCTTCAAACCCAACCCCGGCCAAAAAACAACAACAACAACAACAACAACAACAAAAAGCCTCCATTTTATTAGAAGTACATAGAGTAAAAACATATAAAAAGAATTAACATGTGAAAAGGTGCACAGTTTTTGTCTATCATCCAAGCACAATCTGTTTATTGGGATCTTTTACATCTAGGAGTATTGAATGACGGAAACAAATACTTCAGTTACTCTAAACCAGTTCCTTGGCATATAAAATTTTACTTTTATCTATGAGCCTTTGATGAATAATATGTCAGGTTTTTTTTTTTTTTTTGCCCAGGGCTGGGTTTGAACCCACCACCTCCAGTATATGGGGCCGGCACCCTCTCCTTTGAGCTACAGGAGCCGCCCAATATGTCAGGTTTTAAAGTAGAATAGGATATAATGCACTTAAATTCTATACTATTATAACTTCTACTAATGATCTGCTTGAGAGAATAGCTCTAACATCATGAAAAGTCTGGGCAGGATAGCTCTGAAGAAGCAACCATTTTCCTTTTGAATGATGACAATGTTGCACTAGAATAGCAAGTCTGAAATTATCCTTAACATATGTGTTGAAAATTGACTATGGAACTAGAAAAATGTCGCCTCATTAGGAATCCATTTGAGATGGCCGTTGTTCTCATCCTTTCCTTAGAGCCGGCCGACTACCCCCAGGAGCTGCAGCACTTGGCCTGACACAGCATTAGTTGTCCCATGTTTCTGCACAGTGGATGGCTCATATCTTATTAAGCCGTCACTGGGAAGTGATGTTGTCCCAAGGAAGATCAAATCCATAGCACAGGAACTAAAAGCAACCAGCTGTGTAGGGACAATGTCCTGCTGGGGAAAATTAAAGGTTCTCCTGTTTTATGGTAATGTTATGAAGGCCATAAATGTGTATAAATTCAAACAAAAATTTTAAAACCCACTAATGTATTCTGCATGTATGACAGTTGGATTAATAAGGTATTTTATAATTTCTGAAGACTATGTGACCTTTAGGCCATGAAGAATAAACCTGTGCTTCAAAAGGTTTTAAAGATTATTTATTGTAGAATCAAAGAGAAAAAAGCAAGTCCAAACTACACCAAAATGAGGTTCCAGCTATTTCCCCTAGAGCTGGGATACTGTGTATCATTGGATGAGCATTAACTCGTACAAATAGGTGTGTGTGCTCTCAGAAATTTCTTTAAAATAAGGAAATGTGTGGTGGTTCAATACTGGAACCTCATGTGCCAAGCTTCCCTGGCTCTCCCCACTCTGCTCTCAGAGCTTGTTTGTGGTTCCTAACTTTGCTCTTCAGGACTCTGTTTAGAGCAGGGAACTAGCTCCATGTTGATGGAAGGGATAAAGTGAGAGCAGTGGTTCTATTTCAGGGTCTCATTCTGATGGTCAGATGTGTCAGTGTCAGCCTACCATTTCATCACTTTTTTCTTAATACATTATTTGTTCCATTATACCAGCATCACACTATACCATCACTATCAATACCATCAATGTCCAACTGCTACCATCACCACCACCTTCACCATCACAACCGTCATCACTACCACCACCATCAACATCACTACTACTAGCAACACCACCACCACCATCATTACTACCACCAGTCACCATGACCACCATCATCACCACCATCACCACCACCATCATTACTACCACCAGTCACCATGACCACCATCATCACCACCATCACCATTACCACCACCACTACTATCACCAGTCACCATGACAGCCATCACCACTAGTACCACCACCAGTCACCATGACAACCACCACCACCACCACCACCACCACCACTACTATAACCAGTCACCATGAACACCATCATCACCACTATCATCACCACCACCACCATTAATATCACCAGTCTCCATGACAACCATCACCACCCCTACCACCACCAGTCACCAGGACAACCATCATCATCACCATCACCATCACTACCACCATTACCATAACCTCCACCATCACCACCACCACCATTACCATCAGCACTATTGGTGTTATCACTATCACTAGCATGGTCACCACCACCACTATCACCACTGCCATCAAGAGCATTAATTTTTACCTCGATGATCTTGATGTCTTTCTGTCTTTCTGCCTCTAGGTTCTCATCTCCTCCAACCTTTCCTACATTTTGTTGCAAAATTAATTATCCTACATCAGAGTTTTGATCCTATCTCTTGCCTGCTTAAAAGCTGAAGTTTAATTAATCTTTATTTAACTCCATTCCTAATGAATAAAATGCAGTTCTTTGGGCTTCGCATGCCAGGATATTCATAAAAACATGTCTCTAGGATGTTGTTCAGATTGGCTGTCCCAGTGCTGCCTCTACAAGCATTCTAAGCTCCAACCAAATAAGAGCATTCACTATTCCTTGATATGCTTTAGGTTAGAAATTTTCAAAGTTCAGAACAAATAATGCTTTATTAAATCTCTTGGATATTTGTTAAAATGCATATTTTGAGGCCCCATTCTCTTTGGAATCCTGGGTACTTAACATCTTTTTGTTCTTAGCTTTGGGATCTGTTGTCAAATCTTGTGAACACAAGTAAAGTCACATTTAACATCTGGTTACTTAAATATCCTACATGGTGTTTGTAAGGAGTAATATTAAAAATATAAAGCAATTGGCACAGTGCCTAATCCAGCAAGTTGCCAACAGAATATAGCTTTATTGCCAATTCTTGTCCCACCTATGTTCAGAGTGTTTTTGTGATGTTCAAGTAATAACATCTGTGATAGAACTTCTATATTTCTCACGTGCTGTTCATTAGACTGGTAACCTCTGGAGGACAGGGATTATGTATGAGTCATCATTGTATAACTTGCAAAATCTGACCTAATGTTTTTCTCACTATTAAGTGAATTAATAATCAGTTACTTATTTTTAAAAATTGTGACATAAATTTTAATTCAGAGCCTTTAACATTTCAAAAAATATCCCTTTCATGTTCTCCCAGAGGAAGTCCCTAAGACACCTCTTCCTCTGGTGGCCGCTGAAAACTGCAGGGTCATTTCCTGAACGTCCCAGGTTCTCTATGCCCTGACCTTAGGAGCACAGCCTTCTCAAATACACTGAGACTTTTGATGAGAGAAACTGAAGAGTTTTAGCTCAATATTTTGGAAATATTATTTGGTCATCCTCATTAAGTTTTCATCTCTAGCCCTGTGTATCAGTTCTTAGAAATGGCAGTCTATCTCCCATACCAATGTGCAATATTCACCTAGGACCCGGTTGAGGTAAATAGGTTCAATCTTGTGTCCTGGGTTGGGTCCCTGACTTGATGTCCTGCTTAATACTCTAGTGCTTTTAGGATTAGACACTGCCTTGGTTTTTTTATTTAATGAAGGAATTAAAATTTTTTTTTCCTTTTATTAAGTCACATACACATAGATCAATAATGTCTGCCCTGTGATTCCATCCTACAAGCATCTTTAACATCCACAGCGCCATCTATCAACTCCTTACTGATAAATTTGCTGGTGCTAAGGTCTGCTGATGAATTTCTAAGAACCTCTTGGTTGTGCTTTAACCCCCATAGAGGGCTCCTTCACTCTCAGCAGATGGTGACGCTGGTGCTGTGGTTGAACACATGGAATGCTCCTCTTCGTAGCATTTCGCTGTACCTCTTGTCTGATCCCTCAGTGGTCTACTGAGTGACTGCTTCACCACGTCAAGCCCTCTCAGCTCTTACGCCTTCCCTCCTGCAATTACATGGTTACTGAGGACCTCATGCTACTTACCTGGCTGATGGTGCTCATGGCCCGCATGTAGCTCTCATTCCTGGAGCGGAACTTTGGGGACGTGAGCAAGCCTGCAGGGTCAAGACCATCCAGGCTTCGGTTGATAGAGACTTCACTTACTGCTCTCAGGTAACTGTGACTCCGGATCTGGAGTTTGGGTGAATGCTCATTGGAAATCCTGGAAGAGAAGAATGGAAGAAGTGCATTTAGTCATATTCCAAAAACGGAAGCAGGAATAAGACATGTCACTAATTATGTGGTGCCCTAAGTACTCGGGCAAATAATATGGTAGATGCCTTTCTATGATTGCTTCCCATGGTGTCTCAGAAGAAAAAAAAACTTTTGGAAGGAGATCATCAAGAGCAATTAAGATTCTCTTTAGCCATTAAGTAATTTCTCCACTCACCTTTTCCTAGGCACCCTAGGGAGGGAGATAATAGTCCTAGAATTCTGACTTGTGTATTTTTTATTTTATTTTACTTACTTACTTATTTACTTTTTGACTTGTGTAATTTGTAAGGTTTTCCTTCTACCTGTATCTTTCCCGCCATCTTTTTGTTTATGGACTCTCTAGTAACAAGAAGTGGGTCTTGGGTGGCACCTATGGCTCAAGGAGTAGGGCACCAGCCCCATAAAAAGGTGGTGGGTTCAAACCTCAGCCACAGCCAAAAACTACAAAAAAAAAAGAAGTGGGTCTTCATTTGTATCTGTATCAATATCAATATTTCTATCTATCCACCAATTTCCCCTCCTTCCCTTCCACTGGCCTTCCCTTTTCCTTCCCTTCTCTTTCTCCTTTTTTACTTCTTTCCCTCCTTTTCTTTTTCAGCTATCTAATCTTTAACTCTCTCCCATAGTTGAGGTTGAACTTAGTGAACAAAACATAACCACCAGAAACGCACACATCTCTCTGAATCTTGAACGTACACACAACTGTTTACTCACTTTGTACTCTTTGGATTTATTCCAAGATGCACTGTAACATTATAAAGGTAGGAAATGCTCATTGCAAAAAGCCAAGCTATACAGAAGTGAACAAAGGGGAGAGTAGGTCTTCTCCCCCACTGATCCTGTTTCCAAAATTCTGCACCTTTATAGAAAGTGCACTTGGCATTTTGGCATATGTCCTTCCTCACTCTTCGCAGATATTTATGAACAACTTAATTTTAGTAATTTTTAAAGTTTGTTTTCACTTGGGGTCAGGGTGATTTTTCTTTATTAAAGTTCTTTAATTTTACATGTAATATTGCTTGCAATTAAAAGAATTGAAGTTGGTAGGGAAAAGAGGTATGCTCAACATAGTTACTATTACCTATTATGATTCTGGAGCTCTTAGCTAGAGTAATTAAAAAATTAAAAAAAGAAAGGCTGGGTGCAGTTGCTTATGCCTGTTATTCTAGCACTCTCAGAAGCCAACGTGGGCAGATTGCTTGAGTTCAGGAGTTCGAGATCAGCCTAAGCAAGAAGGAGAACTCATTTCTTTAAATAGTTGTGGTGGACACCTGTAGTCCCAGCTACTTGGGAGACTGAGGCAAGATGTTGCTTAAGCCCAAGAGTTAGAAGTTGCTGTGAGCTGTGATGCCACCGCACTCTACTAAGGGTGAAATAGTGAGACTCTGCCTCAAAAAAGAAAAAAAAAAAAAAGAAGAAGAAGAAGAAAAAGAAAGAAAAAAATAGGGTATATAAATATTGCAATGGGAGGGATAAATGTTGAGTATTTATAGATTATGAAATTATCTGTAAATAAAAAAAATCAAATAAAAAGTCATGAGAACCTTGAGATAGTGGTAGCTAGATATAAGGTAGAAATACAGAAATTACCAAGTTTTCTATATGCCTCTACCACCAAATAAAATTTTAATTAAAAAAATCCCATTTAAAATGGCAAAATATAAAATAAATGAAAATAAGCACCAGAATTTTATGAAGAAAATGATAAAACCTTATGGGAGGCAATAAACAAATCCTACTTAAATGGAAACATTCCCAATAATTTGCCTAACTGAAAGTACTCAATTTTACAAAAAATTTAAGTTTCTCCTAAATTAATCTATAAATTTAATGCAATTGCTGTAAAAATCTCATGGAATTTTTCATTCAAATGTACCAAACTCATTTTACATTTCATACGAGGTTCATAGCAGCATAATTCAGAAGAGACAAAAGGTGAAAACAACGCAGATGTCCATCAGCTGATGAACTGACCAATAAATGTGGTATGGCTATGCAATGAAATGTTATTGGGCTGTTCCAAAGGAACAGGCTACAACATGCATGGACTTTGAAAACATTATGGTAAGTGAAAGCAGCCACAGAAGTGTTCAGAACAGGCAAAACTATAAAAATAGAGAATACAGTAGTGGTTGCCTAGAGCTGGGTGGGGGAGGGGCAGGAAGATCATGGTGATACTGGATTTTTGACTTTGGATTTCCAGGCTCTTGGTCTCAACAATTTGATGACATCGAATCGATGGACCACAGGATGGACAGTAAGTTAGGTTTTATTTACAGAACTATTATTACAGCTCTTACAAAGAGCCAAACCTTGCAGAGCAGGATAAGATAGGTTTTATACAAGTGTCACAGCTTTTACAAAGAGCCAAACTTCCTTGCAGGGCAGGGTGTAAGTGTTACAGCTCTTCCTCTTCTGCTCTCTCTCCCTCAACAGTCTGCAGCAATCTGCTGAGGTCTTTGTTCTCCTGTTCTCTCTTCCTCAAAGGTCTGTGATGATCTGCTGAAATCGCTTGCTCTTCTGCTCTAACTTCCTTGACCATCTGCGATGATCTGCCCCTAGGCTCTCTGCTCAGGGGTTTATATAGGGGCAGTTGTCCAATGAGCTGAGAGCTTAGTTGATTGGTCTATAAAATAGACCAGTCAGGAGCAGGATTGAAAATGCACCAATCAGGGATGCACTGGAGGAATCGCCAGTGTTTTCCCCTGATCTGCCAGTCTTTTTTGTTCCTGGCACCTCCGGTGGGAGAGAAAAGCTCCCCCTTTGGCTCCAGCTTGCTGGTTTCCAGCTGCTGCCAAGGCAGAGCTGGCAGGTCCTCTAAGAGCAGAGCTGGCTGCTCTTCTGGAGCCTCTGGTGGGGGAGGGAAGCTCCCCTGCTTGCTCCAGCCTGCCAGTTCCTTTGCTGGCTGCTGCCACCAAGACAGAGGTGGCAGGCCCCCAGCCCCACTGGGCTGAGCTGTCTGGGGCACCACTTTTCCGGTATCAATGGTGGTGGGGTTGATATCTAAAGGGTGGCAAGCAGGGGTGGGAAAACTTTAATCGAGTTGTAATCAAATAAGGCCACATTCAAGAAACTTCAATTAGATATACTTAAAAATGTACATTATTTTATAAAAATCTAACTACTATGTACTTAATAATTTCAAAAAATGAAAACTACACCTGTATTCGTTAGTTTTAAAGTTAACTAATCTTTTAATGACTTTGTTGTGTCTGCTTTTTGGTGGAAAACATCTGAATATTTAGTTGCAGCACAGAGGTCTGCAGTTTTGGCAGATCCTCTACACTTGATCTTAGCCAAAAAGCCAGGAAGGAATCCATCGATCCTCTAGATGGGTATCAGTCATTTGTGATCTTTTTTTTTTTTTTTTGAGACAGAGCCTCAAGCTGTCCCCCTGGGTAGAGTGCCGTGGCCGCACAGCTCACAGCAACCTCCAACTCCTGGGCTCAAGCGAGTCTCCTCTGCCTCCCAAGTAGCTGGGACTACATGTGCCCGCCCGGCTATTTTTTGGTTGCAGCCGTCATTGTTGTTTTGGTGGGTCCGGGCTGGGGATTCGAACCCGCCACCTTAGGTGTACGTGGCTGGCGCCTTAGCCGGTTGAGCTATAGGTGCCGAGCCAGTCATTTGTGATCTTAAGGCCATCTTGCTTTGGGTTAGGTAGGAGAGTGTAGATTTGCAGCAATAACTGGTTGAAAAGCAAGAAAGCATTTTCTGGACATGTCATTGAAAGCATGGGTAATCTACTGCCTTTTTATATATTTCAATTTGATTCTTCTTAGCATCAAAACAATGACTTTAAAATGTTATCTACTGAGAGTTCAATCAATTCCATCTGTAGTTCTTTAGGTGCCTTGGTGAAATCAACTAGGTGGGGATGGAATCAACTAGGTGGACATGAAATGCTAATTTGACTGTGACATTCTGATTCTCAAAGTCAGTGAAACTTCATTGTATTCTCCAGTTGAAAGTTCTATAATGGGTGTGTATTCTTCAAATGATTCATATATATCTCCCGCTCATCAGTGACCTTTGCTAACTGGGGAAAATGTTCATCTGAAGTTTCCTTTTGAAGAAGTGTTTTAAAAAAAGATAGTTTTTTTTTCAAAATGCCTTTTTTTTTTTGGGAGGGAGCACGTATCTTATATAGGCTCAGTTTTACTTTGCAAAACAAAATATTCAAGTTGTTTTGATTTGACATGATATCACACAGAAATACTGCATGCCTATAGGAATCTTCTTTTCAATAATTCTCATTGCTGATTCTGTTCTTCAAAGACAAAATTTTGGCAAATATCTGCAATAGCCAATGCACTTCAGAATGATATGCCAAAATCCACACCAAATATATTATTGTTCAATTTTAGCATGTTATGAAACTGATAATTCTGTGTTGGGTTTGCAGGAATATAATTATATGTAACTATAACTTGTTACAAAGTGTCACTTAAACTAGTAGCTTTAGCTTTTAATTGAGCTGTAATCAAATAAGGCCACATTCAAGAAACTTCAATTAGATATACTTAAAAATGTACATTATTTTATAAAAATCTAACTACTATGTACTTAATTTCAAAAAATGAAAACTACACCTGTATTTGTTAGGTTTTTTTTTTGAGATGGAGCCTCAAGCTATCCCCCTGGGTAGAGTGCCATGGCCACACAGCTCACAGCAACCTCCAACTCCTGGGCTCAAGCGAGTCTCCTGCCTCAGCCTCCCAAGTAGCTGGGACTACATGTGCCCGCCACAACGCCTGGCTATTTTTTGGTTGCAGCCATCATTGATGTTTGGCGGGCTTGGGCTGGGGATTCGAACCCACCACTTCAGGTGTATGTGGCTGGCGCCTTAGCTGATTGAGCCACAGGCGCCGAGCCTATTTGTTAGTTTTAAAGTTAACTAAGCCTTAGTTAAGTTTCAAATTAGCATCAGTCAAATTAGCATTTCATCCC